AGTTGACACGGATGTGTTTTAGACTTGCTCCGGCCGCTAGTTAAAGGATTGACTGTATCTACACATCGTTTCACTTGGCTGTTGCAATCGCTCGAAGGAGTAAATAAACTGGATATTGATCATGTATTTTGCGTGTGGTAGCCGAATGAAAATCCAAAGGTTTATTCTGGAAAATTTCTAACTATAGATTTTTACCGTATTTTAAATTAAGTTAAATTATTTGTATGGATACAAACCGCCGATTTTCTTGTTTTTAGGATGAACCGGAGGGTTGGAAAGCCGCACCTTCGGCATTTCTCGACGAATTACGTGAGGGATGTCATCAATACGAAAGTGAGTTTTCCCGGATCCTGTTAGATTAAGTGATAGTCATAAATAAAGAACTATTTGACAAAACTAATAGAAAGTAAGATCTGTCACAAATGAATTCTTTTGGGACACAGTGTTTGCCACATTGTTTACACCTATATCAACGTTTCATCCTGCGTCTTGGTGCTCAGCGGCTTCCATTGATAAGTAGTGTGTCTTACCATTTTCTGAAAATTTACCTCAAATCCAAAAACCCTCCAATCGGTTTGGTGCTGGAACAAACATGATCCGATTCTTCAAGCAAAGTGTGATCTGTGATAAATAGTTAGAACAGCCTCATCATAAACAAACGGATTAGTCAAGCTGCTCAACCGTCAGACAACCAGTTGATTGCAATGGTTAGAATGAGTTGGTAACCGATCTGCTGCTGAATTCTCCAATGAGCATCTCGTCAGCCATACTTACAATGAGTGGCTTGTTCACTCAGGAATCCAGGTCAAAATCAGGTTTGATAATGTGGTAAATAGACACTGGGAATTTCAGTGAAACTTACTCTCAGTTAATGCATTCTGACAAAGGCCTTAGTCAGTTTATTTATACCAATGCGGTAGATTTCAATTGGATAGTTCTATCAGAGTAAAGCTGGATACATATATAGCTTGTGTTCAACTCTCACAACTACTATTGCAGTTTCTCACCTCTTTGTCTTCCTTCAACCCTTTTACTTATCTGTAATACCTTGTATGAATTGCTCTTTGCATGTCAGACAGTACAGAAATAACTATAGTGGTGGTGTTTGCACCCACATTCGTATAAACTTCCAGGAGTACACGATTAAAAAATAACAGCATACATCATCCCAAAAACAGAGCGATTCAACTAGCTGTGTCATTAAATGCTTACCACGGTCTCTATATGCGCTTCGTGTTTCAGCGATTTGGGCACATCGAGATGAACAGGATAATTTTGCTCAACGTCATGATGAAGAGATAATCAAGGAAGAGAAACGCGCTGAAGTTGAAAAAGAAGTTCGTTTTCAAGTGAGTGTCATCGATAATTCAAGCACTAAGTATCTATATGATTTCATGCCAATTTCTAACTCATAGAAACCCAATACACTTTTTACAAACGTTCAAAAACCAACACTGGATAATTACCACATGTTGCTATCTAATGAAGTAAAACCCTCTTGGTAGGATTCGGTGATTCATATAAATGGGGTGCATTTCAATATTCGGCACGGTGATCAGTGTTTTTCTGAAGATCGACCGTCTAGCCTATTGATTGAGCGATCTGCATTTGCACTTGTACACAATGCTCACAAAATAATCGTTTACGTAAGTACAAACAATAAAACTCATGGTCCAAAGCTAAAGTTACATGAAATTGAAGTTATGGAACAAAGCATTAATCAATTTAGAGTACCAAGCTTGGATTAGCCCATTCCATTGTTCAGATGCACCAGGCACTCTTGATGGTCTTGGGTGTGGGTTTCACTTCTTGGGAGATCGTTAATTCCCCACGAGGCAAATGCATTCAAATGCGATGGAAATGTTTGTGATAACCGACAAAGATCACTGGACAGCTGTTTCGTCCTGTTTGGGACTCGTCAGCAGTACATACCTTTTTTGTGTGTCCCCGTCAGTACTCGAACCGCAAGCATTCCGGTTGGGACTTCAAATCCTTACCCTTGAGCTACCCGGTCGACAGTCATCACCTTGTGCGATTGGCTCAATCAATTTAGAATATCAAGCTTAGTTTAAAATAATACGCACTGCTGACGAGTCCCAAACAGGACGAAACAACTGTCCAGTGCCCTTTGTCGGCTATCACAAACATTTTCATCGCATTTGAAAGCTTTAATCACTTTTCCTACAGTTAGGGGTGATAATTATGAATTGTCAGTGTTAGAATCTAAACCATATTTTTATTGACTTGCAGTTTATGAATGATATACATTAATTTAGCAGTTATTATGCTACCAAAGCTCTTTGATAATGCGGATACCAAATATCTGACTAGTTCCTTGCATAATTCGCTTTATTAGAGGACCTAATATGGGGTGTGCTTTCCAGGTTGATGAACTTTTGCGACAAGAATTGCGAAACCTCAAGGTTGCGATCGACAAGGAGAAGGTAAAACGTGTGGTCAAGAAGAGGGGTAAAAAAGGAAAGAAGGGCAAAAAGGGCAAACGAGGAAAAAAGGAAAAAGATCTCACTCCAGACAGGTAGGTAGGCACTGATTCCGCTTGTGCACGCTTTAATTTCACTCGTTACTTGCGAATGGCAAAACAATAAGAAGCGAAATTTTCGGAGTGATTCATGAAGTTAAAGGTTTTGCCTAAATCACTCTCCAGTTATTGTGGCCTAATGATGTTCAGGCTGAGCGTCGCGCTGATAAATGTTTTATAATGTTTCAGTGGAACGTATTACCTAATGAGGGAGATTAAGGCCAATGTGCGCCCAATTAAAACCTTTGAAAATGTTTCATGTAGTGGATAGGAAAATTTCGTTTGACTGAACAATGAGATGTAACCACTACTCATTTTGTGTCAATACTCAACTGTAAACCATGTTCTTTGGTATATTCAACGTTGGATCCTCTGATGTGGAAGTATGGAAGGGCCTAAACTCAAATCTTTTCAGCCCATAGACCACCAAAACAAAACTAGTTATTGCCCAAACCAGCCTGGGGGATTCTCTAATCCAAAGTGCGCACTACCGAGACCGACCAACTTTGTTTGTCGAACAAACCTTGATATTGCATCACAGTTTGGTTAGGGTACATGATGTCTTAGGAAGAATCGCCAAACTGCTTCGTATATTAACAGCACCATTATGATTATCGACGATTCACAATCGTTACGTTGTTCACAACCAGGAGTGCAATTATCTCTGTGTCCTTTATATTTAACACATTATCCTAACAGTTATTTGTTTCATATCTATATGGCGTGATTTTGTGCTCTTCACTGCCGAAGTCGAGTCCGAGCATACGGCACGTTTTCACCCGAGTTCAGACCGGAAAGTGGTATTCGACATGACTGCCCTTTATCTCCGTTCCTATTTAACTTTGTTATAGATCTGATTATGGAAACAGCCCTATCCTCGTGTGAGGATAGTGGTATCGATTTACTCCCAAGTGGCAGGCTGTCTCATCTAGGATATGCAGACGACATTGTGCTACTAAGTGAAGATCCAGGTAAGTTGCAAGCCTTTCCAAATAGTTTGAGTGCTAGTGTAACCAGG